GTGGCAGGGGATTTTTCGTTCGAACAGATAGTCGAAAAATTAAGACAAGTAGAGTTCGAAACAAAAGATAAGCCGGATGAGATTGCACTCCGTGCAGAAGGAAACCCATCGATTAAGACAAGGAAGGAAACTAGAAAGTGTTACTACTGTGGAAAACTTGGACATATTAAGCCTGATTGCAAAAAGAAGCAGCGAGATGAAGACGGCAAGGAGAAAACGAAGCAAAAATCTGCTCGAGAAACTGCAGGAATGGCATGGACGGCATTTGACTCTGCAGAAATTGGTGCTAATGACTGGTGTGTCGACTCCGGTGTAACTAGTCATATGATTTATGACAAGAGCATGTTCATCGAGTACGCAAATTATACTTCGACACTCGGAACAGCAAAAAATGACATTAATCTCAATGTCATTGGCCGAGGAAAAGTTTGTTGCAAGATAAATGGGCAGAATACGACCTTTGAAGGAGTGCTTCACATTCCCGAATTTAAGGCAAACCTACTATCTCCCGAAAAACTCACTTCAGCAGGACTCTCAGTTATCCTGGGTTCGAAGGATGTTGTAATTAAACGAGACGAACGGATCGTTGCTAGAGGCCCAAGAGTTGGAGATACCTGGATATTGAGGGAACATCAGTTAAAGAAATTGGCTATGAAAGCCCACTCGAAGACACAGGAGGAGACTCTGTTATGGCATCGTCGTCTCGGTCATTCAGGAGCAGAAAAGCTTGGGTTAACATCACAAGCAGTAAGTGGTATGCCAAATATCAAGAAAGCTGACTCATGTGATTGCAACACTTGCAATCTTACAAAGTCAGTAAGGCTTCAGAGTCGGAAACCTCCAGTAAATCCAGCAACTAAACGGCTTGAACGGATCTTCATGGGCACTTGGGGACCTTATAAATATCCATCTATCGGCGGTCGGCGATATATGTTAGTGATTGTTGATGAGTACTCTAGGATGTCATGGGTACATTTTATGACGTAAAAATCGGATGTTTCGGAGTTTTTACCTGAATGGAAACGAGAGGTTGAGCTTGAGTCTGGGGAAAGAATAGTGAAAGTTCGATCTGATGGAGCTCCAGAGCTCAGAAAAGCCATCGCTAGTCTAGGAGTTATACATGAGCCCACAACTGCGGATACACCAGATCAAAATGCGAAAGTTGAGCGCATGAACCAAGCGATTATCACTAAAGCTCGTTCAATGTTGGCAGGGCCAGGTCTTCCGAAAAGATTATGGGCAGAAGCTATGGCGACAGCATGTTACCTTAGAAATCTTACACCATCTGTCGACAGTAAAAAGTCACATCATGAGTTGTGGACTAGTCAGCAGCCAGACGTTCAGCATTTGAAAGTATTTGGATGTGTGGCATATGTCCATGTCGACAAGAAGAAGCGTGATAAACTCGACCTAAATGCCAAGAGAGGCATTTTTGTTGGATATCGTAGGACAACTAAGCAGTACCGTATTCTAGATCCCAAAACTGGAGCCATCACTGAAAGTTCCCATGTTGTTTTCAAAGAACAGCAGAAAGGAGGATCACTGATAAAAAGTACCGACGAATCGAGTATTTTAAAGCCCTCAGATGCGACATCGGATGACTTGTTTTACCAGGAGGAGCAGAGTAATTGTATAGATCTACCGGACCTCGCCGAGAATGCCTTGGTTTATGATGAAGAATTACCTACGGATCGACCACAGCGGAATAGACATCCACCAATTCGCCTGATTGATGAGATTGGGCACGAAAAACAGGACCATGCTAGGATGGCTTTAACAGCAGATGATTCGGATCCTGACCCAACACCCACTAGTTACAAACAAGCTGTGAAACAAAGAAAGTGGCGAGAGGCTATTAAAACGACGATAGAGTCTTTGACATCAAATGATACCTGGAGAATAGTCGATAAGCCGGAAGGCGCAAACCTTGTAAGTACCAAATGGGTTTTTAAAATCAAAAGACTACCCAATGGCCAGATCGACAAGTATGAAGCCCGTCTAGTCGCACGGGGTTTCAGTCAGCGGGAAGGAGTGGACTTTTTGAGGTTTTACGCGAGGACTGCTTGAGGAAGAGAATTATTTGGCAGGAGTTGATGGAGTTGAGTTGTCCGAAAAGTTCTAAAACTAAACCAATCTCTTGAGGGACTCAAACAATCTGGAAGAGTCTGGAACCAGTGTGTCTCGAAATCTTCATGTTCAGATAGAAGTAACAATAACAATAAGCAAGCAATCAATCTAGTATTATCGGGATTTATTATTCATATCATTCTAGTATCATCAATTACACGATAATTTTCTAATGGGGAGTAATTGATATCTCTTCCATTTTCCCACTCGCTCCACCAAGTGATACAATCTGTGACGATCAGCCACAAGCTTTTGCAAACCTCTCCGCTCGACAGTTTCCCACAACTACCGCTGTTTAGTCATGTGAGCGAAATCCATGAACTCGCCCGCCCACATCCATGGGACTCACTCGGATGAGGTTGGATGAAGAAGTCCCTCTATGGGACCCAGATCTTCAAGGTGTGCGAAGAGGGCGCACTGGTCGCGCTCTTGCTGACGTGAGAGCTGTAGCAGCGGGGCTACAGCTGACTCTTATGGACTCCTTGGCGCATTGGATGACTGAGTGACACCTCGTCTAGACATCGTGATGCCAGTAGTTCCAATCGTTTGCGCTGTTGCCAGGGCCATGTTATGGGAGAGCGTAGAGACGAGACGAGCCGTAGAAGGAGGGTCCTAGTGCTGCAAGAGGCGTTTAAGTCGTGAGAACTACCATTAGGACTTTCGTCGGCAAGAGTAAACCATGTCGTCGAGTACGTGAGTGGCTTCAAATTTAAATTCCTACCATGAATTTCTCGCCCATCTACGCCGCAGGAAGTCTTCTGTGTTCGTATATTGAGGGAGCCTCCGCACATTAGAGGGTGGTCCAACATGTTACCTCGTCTAACGCAGAAGAGAGACCTTGGAGGTCCTAGAGCCAGTCGTCGTCTGTCGAAGTCGAATGGGAAATACTCGGCCACACCAACGAGTGATGGTTTCGCTCATTACATCATACGGCGCGTGTACTTATTCGAGTGTGGATGGATTGTTATAAGGCAGGAATGCTACTTGTTTTTCGTTGTGATCATTGTCTTTCTCGGTCCAAGGCTATCTGGGCAAGTAGGTCTTTCCTGCCTGCGTCTCTGGTAGTAAAAACTTTGCCTCCTACATAGCCCCCTCAGATAGTATCTGTATATTACTGTATGAACTTCTCAAGTACAGTTAAAGTCATAAAGTAACTGTAAGACTATTGTAGTTGATAAGTGCCAGGTTGATTGTATGAGAGCGTATGACACGGCACTGGCTTCGCACTTGGATCTAAATATCCGATTGGCAACATGTTAGTTTATCCTTTTAGAATAAACTTCGCAATAGAACCATCGAACGATAGTAGATGCTAGCGAGTTATATTACCCGGGACCGCCGCCACATAGTATGACGCTCGCGAGTGCTCATTTGAAAAACACGGTTAGGAGGCTATGGGCCATCACATCTTTGCCCAGCACCCAACGAGACAAAGGTCATTTGCGGATACAGAGTTGGCGGAGGCTCGTACTAGCTTTGTAGCCATTATCCTCGTGGCATCGGAGGACGCGGTCGCCGCCTGGATTCCGGGAGAGTGAGGAGGGACAGTGGGTGCCGATTGATCTAGCGTGACGTGCGGGTTCGAGGACGCTGATGGGAGTTGTGGACTGGATAGGGCTTTTTGCCGACATGTCAGCAACGAGAGCCAGTTACGCGCTGTGCACTGGTACGTTGAATCAAAGCACCTCGAGCAGCCCGAGCCCACACGGCGTGACCAGACCAAGGAGAGCTAGAAGCATAGCTCCCACTAGCCCCGACGACTCGGAGTTCAAGTCGTCTGATGCGCGAACTGCACCCAGTCTCCCACGCCAGCTACTGGACGACCATTGGGTTGGGCCACGTAGACGTTGGAGAGGCCGCGTCTGAAACAAGCCGCGTCGAGCCTCAGGCCGCGAATAGCAATGAGGTCATGGCCCCATATGAGACGAGCTCGATGCCCACGAAGACCCCGGCAACAGCGTGTAGAAGCTCGACAATGGAGCCTCACACGACTAGGTGCGACGAGCGGACGGCAGGATAGACTTCAAACGGCGAGGGAGTGGCATGGCTTCGTCAACTGGTACGGTTTCATGCGTGCGCGGCGAGGACAACTGTCCACTTCCCTGTGCTCCTAAAGCGCGCCTGACGCGCGCGTAGACATCCCTCAGCGCGATTAAAACCCCGGTACATCTACGGGTTTTTTTAGCCGGCCAGCATCAACGACGCGAGACGGTCATAACCTTAGAGGCGCCATATTTCTGTTGCGCGAGTTGAATCCCTCACGAGACCTTCGTCTGGGCCTAGCAGAGACCAGCAAAGGTTGGAAAGTCCGCTCAAGACGTCAAGAGCTCGGCCGCCCGGTGGCCGAGCTGGGAGCATGAAGCGCTACGGCGTGAGCAAAGAGACTTTCACGCTGCTCGGACTGAGCATAGTTTAAGCTATCTGTGAAGCCTCTTATGACGTCGTCGATTTATTGGGACGAACTCGTCACAAAAGCCGGTAGTCTGCTACTTGCCACGCACAGAAACGTGCGCATCCCGTGCCGTATTAGTCTTTACGAGAAACCTGCCAAACTCTACGAGGTCTCCAAACAAACTCTTTGCCGGGAGACATTGAACATTGTACAGGCATGGGGGAGGACTGATGACAAGGTCATACACACTGAATCACCGTAGTCTATTATTTTATGTGATGCTGAACTTTTGAACCTAATCTTACTGTACATGATGCTAATAGACATTTTACCCACAACTCCAAGGGGACTGGCTCATAATAGCCTCTATCCATTCTACAATATACAAGGTACGAGATGATTTTTGACGTGCCGACGGACTGGGATCGGCTAGGTGCGCAAACAGAGGGTTAGGCGAAAGCAGCAAGGGGCGAGATCACATTCACTTCTTGTGTCTTTCGGCCTGCTGCTTCAAATACTTTTCAATGAGTTCTTTCCTATAAGCAGAAGGGGGGCCATGGCATCAGTACTGGGCATGAGAGGGGCCGGGGCAATACTTACTGTAGCTGGCCAGGAGCAGGACTGTAGTGGCTGAATTCCATGCTAAACTCTCCCTTGCCCTGCGTCGCGGCGCGCAATTGAGAGCTGAAGCCAAACATGGAGTTTAGGCTGCAGTCGGCATTGAGGGTGAAGTCCTCGGGCCCGGTCTCGGTATCGTTGATGATTGAGTTGCGCTTGTTGAGGAGGCCGACGATGTTACCTTGGAACTCGTTTGGCGAGCTCACCGTCGTTTTCATGACCGGCTCGAGGATCTGGGGCTTGCAGTCCATAAAGGCCTTGCGAAAGGCCTGCTGCGTCGCATTCTTGAAGGCGAGCTCCGAGGAATCAGTAGAATGTATGGCGCCATCATCAATCACCATGAGGGTGGCGAGCACGGGATGCCCTATCAGCGGCCCTTTCTCGCAAGATGCGCGGAAGCCTTTTTCGCAGGCAAAGAGGAACTTTTCCGAGATGGCGCCGCCGACAATCTCCTCGCGAAACTGGGCAGGACTGAAGCCATGTGAATCTTGGGGAATAGGCTCCATATAACCGGCTACGCGGGCAAAGTCTCCAGCTCCACCTGTCTGCTTCTTCAAGGTATGATTAAATTTGGCGGGCTGCGTGACAGTTTCACGGTAGGCGACTTGGGGCTGTCCGGTTTCAACTTCGACCCGATACTCTCGTCGCATCCTCTCCACATAGATATCGAGATGGAGCTCGCCCATGCCCGAGATGATTGTCTCGCCACTCTCAATATCCACATGCACTCTGAATGTAGGATCTTCGCGCTGAAATCGACTCATGGCCTTGCTGAAGTTGGCACCGTCTTTGGTGTGTTTGGGCTTGATGGAGAGCGATACGACGGGATCGGGGACAAACATTGACGTCATGGAGTAGGGAAGTCCACCGTCGGTAAACGTATCACCAGAGGCACAGTCGACCCCAAATACAGCACAGATTTCTCCGGCACCAATCTCAAGGGCGTCCTCCATCTCGTTCGAGTGCATGCGAACGATCCTCGGGACCTTGACCTTTTTGTCAGTTCGAGCGTTGAAGACATTCATACTCTTCTTCAGGGTTCCTTGGTATACGCGGACGTAGGTGAGCTGGCCAAAATTACTCTCCTCCAGTTTGAAGGCCAAGCCGACAAAGGGCAGCGAATTGTAGGACGTCAATTTAACCGGGGCCTCGGCACGCCTCTGATCCAGGGCCAAGTTTTCCACTTCGGAGGGATCTGGCAAGTAGTCACATACGGCGTCGAGCATGGGTTGGACCGATTTATCGGCCAACGCGCTGCCCATGACGACGGGAGTAAACTTGCGTGCGATGGTGGCTCGGCGCACGGCCGCCTTGATCTGTTTGGGGGTAGGTACCCTCTCGTCGAGAAAAATCTCTGCAATCTCATCGTCGACATCGGCCAGCACCTCAATCATAACGGCTCGTTTCTCCTCGGCCAGTGCCTTGAGATTTTCCGGAATCTCATCGGTTTCTCTGATAATTTCGCCCTTTGGACCTTCGTTGTAAATGGCCTTCATTCGGATCAAGTCTATGACTCCATTAAACGTATCCTCTGTGCCGATGGGGACTTGTAGGGCTGCCGCCGGTATCCGTAGCTTCTTGTTGATTTGTTCGACGACTTTGAAGGGGTTGGCGCCCATGCGGTCCATCTTATTGATGAAGCTAATGCGCGGCACATTGTACCTTCGCATTTGCCTGTCGACAGTGATGGTCTGGCTTTGCACGCCGCTGACGGCACAAAGAATCATGACGGCACCGTCAAGGACTCGGAGCGCGCGTTCGACCTCGATGGTGAAGTCGATATGGCCTGGAGTATCAATCAGATTAATATGGTAAGTCTCTTCCTTGCCCTCTTCTACCTTTTTCCAATCACAAAAGGTCGCGGCGGATTGAATGGTGATGCCTTTCTCCCTTTCCAGGTCCATCGAGTCCATCTTGGCGCCGACTGCATCCTTTCCGCGGACCTCATGGATGGCCTTGATGCGACCGGTATAGAAGAGCACGCGCTCTGTTGCCGTCGTTTTTCCGCTATCAATGTGTGCCTGACAGTGGGGATTTAGTTACTTGAAACAGAAGGGCACTCGCAGCAGACATACAGCAATGCCAATGTTGCGCAGGCGGGCGAGACGCTTTTGTTCCTTGCTGTCAACGGGTTCGACTTGCTTCTGATTTGGCCTGGAGGGATATCAGTTATTTCATAGCCTAAGCCTCGCGATGTCTCGGGAACCCGGTAAGAAGCTTACGTTGCATCGGGTGCGCTCGCCATCTGAGAATAGAATTTCGGGCCACATCTTAGAGGTGTCAGGGAGGCGCGGGTGCGCTGTGGTGCCGCGACCTGCAGACATCGGATTCTACCGAGAACCGACAGACTTCGGGGAGCGGCTACACGAGCTTTGGCACCAAGCACGGCCGGTCGAGCTGTGATTAACCTCATGTTGAGCGGTTTGTGTGCGCAGCAAGGAACGAAATGGCAAGGTTTGCCAGAATTTGTTTGCCGAGCCATAGCCTCACGGACCGTTTTGTCACTGAGTCCATCCGACGCGCCGCGCCGCGCCGCGACTTAGTATTTAGCGGTAAATGTACAGACGAAGAGTCATCGAGATATGCGATTAAAAAGACAGCCCAAGAGAGGCCAATACTTACTTCGCCCTACACGCAACCGGATCCTCGCCTGAGCCTACAAAATGCGGCGTGGCCACCCATACTAAGTGTGACGCCGTTTTGTCATGCACGTTCTCCGCAACCCTCTGCCTTATCCACCAAGCAATGGCTCTCATGACCGACTGGATGTTACCCAATATGGAGTACGAATCTAGATGAGAGCTGGATTCAACGGGTGTGAAGACTATTCATGGCATTTACTCGAATCGACAGACGATTTGGCGATTAAGCCAGCCAATTCTGAATCTAGTTCGACCTTCGCCAGAGAGGATTCTAGCTTTCATCGTTACAAGTTACGGGGAAACTTTCGAGTACATGAGGTGCATGTAGGCAAAGCAATGTTCCTCTCGGAATACGACGGAAACTTGATGAAGCCGCTAAGTTCGAGATAATGCTAAAATCAGCACATTACAAACAGCCATCAATTTTACAGACGGAACTCACACATTTAGAGCATCTCACTAGCAGTTACTTCTTTTGACATCAGTTTTTGTGGTGGATGATCTCTTGCCTTCAAATTTCCATGTAGATTCAGGTAGCGCAAATTTCACATTACCAAATTACAACTGATTGGCCTTGGAGGTGTTCACTCGATGAAGCGATAAAAACTAAATAATGTATCGCATGCTGGGCTCTCGGAAAACTCCAGATCAATTTGTGTTGGTAGGATGGAGTCTGAGATGATACGACTACAGGTTTCACTCGGCCCTCATCGTAACTGAACACTAACATGACAAATTTATGGAACGTGGGAACCCTTTCAGCGGTCGTCGGTTTAGTGTTAGTTTGGAGTTAATACCTCACTCGTGGCAACAACTCAATCGGAAGTACTTGCGCCAATAAAATGTGCAGACCAAACTTTGATCAACGTAAAGATCTAGGCCTACCCTGACGATCATTTAAATGAACTCTAGAAGATTGCGAGGTGTAGGTTCAAGGAAAGTAGTGAGATTCTATAGGTCTCAAAGGAATATATTTATTTGTAGATAGAAAAAGAAGCAACTTTCGAGAGATGCTGCTGATGATAGTACCGCATCCAAGGTACTGCTCCATCATATTTAACCCCGAACAGATCAATGTGAGTCACGGATTGCTGTTTCTTAGCTTGGAAGTGTCGGGAGAGGAGATTGAGTGTTGTAGTCGCATAAATATTATTACAGCCTTCAGTGGCGGATTCAAAGCACCCTCGACCAGCGCTGAACGATAAGACATCGCCAGAGGCATAGATCTCAGCACTCCCAGCAGACGGCGTTAGGCTCCTCCTTCACGCTTGGCATATTCCTCCTCGATGCGTTCCTCGTAGAGACGATCGGCCTCTGTCAAGATGCCTTTCTGGACGAGCTCTTCCGCATCAGGGCGTCGCGCGAGCTTCTCATGGAGGCTATCGGCGAGCATCTGCTTAGCGAGATCGTGAGCGGCACCTTGGAGCGCACTGCAGTAGACCCAAGCCCGTTAGCAAGGCCGCACGGCACGCGGATAGGGGCACTCACGGCGCCGCCGCCGTCTCGGGCAGAATATGGCGAGCGCGGAGCTCGGGAGCAGTGGGGCGCTGGGCGAGCTGCTTTTCCAGCGATTGACGCCGTGCAGCCATGGGCGTAGTCGAGGTCTGATTAACAGTAGTGGGCGGCGATGGTGACATGGCGGTCAGCTTGCAGTGAGAGAGATGAAGGGAGGCAAGATTGCAGGAGCTCAGCGAAGGCAGAGGTAGCAGCCGGCGTCTACACGGTGCTGACGTCATGGCACCGGTCGCCTGACAGCGCGTCACGCCAAGAAGCGACTTCTGGCCTCAAGAACAAATATATTTTATTTTCTTCCCTCAGTTGATGGGTATAGGGTACATGTAAGTTTAAGCTCTGCATCGGCCAGGAAGACGCGTGCCACGCTGGTACAACGCCTTCTCTGCCCCATTCACGGCTCCCATCAATCAGCAACACCCTTGACGAGTCTTCATTTGATAATATGCTTTGTTGCTAGCAGCGGCCAAAGTTTAATTCGGCGTAGCCCACGCACAAGGTCACCAAGGATTGTGAGAGTGAGGATGATTATCAGCCCATTCCACCACTATCTTCTCCGCAGTAAGGAGGTGCTGGACGAGTACAAATTTGATTCGGATAAATAGAATTTCCTCTACCCCGACACGCCGCAAGGAGCCTTTTGCCTCCCCCCCCCCCCCATCATCGCCCCTCCCGGACCGACGAGTGGTCTGATATATGCGGGTATGTGTCGGCCGGGGCAAAATTAAGGGTTTTGTGAGAAGTTTAAAAGTCTTGGGCGACAGAGTCGGCAGGAAATTAACCTGAACCAACGTCTTATTGTCGTTGAGGGCAACGGAAAGTGTCGTCAACCATAGACCAGAGAAGTCCTCAAGTCTAGGGCATTTATCCTGGCTCAGGCGAGCGTGAGAACGGGAGCTGTGGATGTGTGGGGTTGTGTCTTGAATCCGGGTCACGTGACCAGACTTGAGTAAACAGTAACTATTCCCCGACATATCTATTAATGGATGTGCGATACCTTCCGATCTATCTGAGAATGATAGCTGGTCGACCACGGGCTAAGCTAATCAGATAAGCGCAGGCCTTAAAAATAGCATCATGATTGTGGAGTGAGTGGGCCACACTTGCCCCAGTGTAAAAGCAACTAGTCCGGACGCACGGTCCAGGACGAGAAGAGTAAACGTGGGTGGGACCGACGTCACGAGGAGTCAAGTTACTTTCTGGCGAAGAGCGAGATACGGGTAGCAGGATTCTTCAGAATTGCAGGTCAGGCAGCAATTGCTTTTTGGAAAACAGAACACTGATCCGCTTGCATCATATTCCGATACGAGGAGTCGTTGCTGGGCATCTCAGACACGGTTCAGGGTTCAGATGTTGGAAGGTGAAAACACATTAGATAATTCAATGTTTTATACTTTAAACCAAAATGAGACTTCCGCTTCGCGTTCGCGCAAGGTTCTGCGCTGGCAATGTCGTCTACAGCCCGGTGAACATTCCCTCTGCGCCGAATTTCATCAAATTCACAGTGCCAGAGAGGATTGGCCACGAGAGACTGATTCAAGACTCTCTTTCACATTAAGGTTTCGCCCCCCCACCGCTATAATACTGATTCTGACCAAATTACAGTTAGTCTAGGGGTACGAGCTAGTGTATCTTGATCTCTATGACCCCGTCTCTCGTCTCAGCTAGCCTCCAAGTACAGGCCCATGACAATAAGGATACCTTCAGGAGGCAGATACTTTGGTTGAACGTGAGAGATATCAGAAACGATGGACAACACGGTGGCGGGGTGGACAAAGTCTTGCAAGGTGTAGGATTTCTGAATAATCTTTCACGTTGGGAGAGTGCGGACGATACTGCAACAGAACCATGGTTAGATGATGTAGTAGTACATCACTTGAGCAAAAATTGAGGTAAAGACTGACAACCTGGACATCTAGCAGACTTGAGATAGTAGATGGCTGGGTAGATTCAGAGTATGAGTGTGTCTTAGGTCAAACATGTACAAATAAAACTGGTCATATGACATGGTTAGGTAGCTGAATTCACGTTAATTGAAGTAATGAAAAGATTCTATGCCCGAGCCATAGGTCCACCCTTTACTCGTGAGGCTGATAGAGGGCAGCGGAGCTAGTAGGATATAATCGACCCTAAACCCGCCGCAGATAAAACGATAGGCCAATGTAAAGGGCGGCGAAGCGAGTTTTACGCAAGCTGTGGTGGGTCAGAAGGCTAGCTTATTGACTAGCCAGCAGTCAAAACCCGTGATGCCGAAGAAGCTCGGAGGTAGGGTGAATGAGGGCCCCTGAAAACCGTGCAATGCCCAAAATATCAAGTGTCGGTAGCTACCTGCCAACGAGGCATGATCAGTCTCTCTTGCAAATATTATTAACTCTTTTTTAAAGTTTCACCTGTACTCCAGTTTTTTTGGCAGATATAGCTCCGGGGTATTCGCTTACACACCTTAATCAAGTGTCGTGTGTGATATGGTCGGTGCATCTTCTTTTTTTTTTTTAAATATTTCGTTTGGCTTCCACTGCCTATCTGCTTCGTCTGACAAGTGACCTGCGTGCGTGTATCCTGACACGGTAGCTTTGTGTCACTTCATGGGTCAAAATTTTGCTGGCATATCTCAATCACATGCAACGTTGTTCACACCGCTCAAACAGCCGCTAGTCTGTGAAATTCTGCTCCCAACACGTTGTATACATTTTAGACTTCAATAATTCGGCCATTATTATCTATCATACGAGCAGCGTCTATTATATAGGCGGAACTTCCAGGATCAGAGTTAGCTACTGTCGGGCGCAGTTGGGTTAGGTACCCAAGCTGTCAAGACTGCAGGTGGGGTGCCAGTGTACCACCCAGCTGGTCGGCGGAGACACAAGGGTTTCCGCAGATATCGATGATGCAGGAATCAGCGGCCTATGAGGCTGTCCGCGATACGGCGCATAGCTTGGACGGCCGCAGAGGTAGCAAGTATCTCTCTGCGGTCAGACGAGGAAATGGTAAGAGTCCGCTCCAAGACGCGAGTGCTGAGAGGCCGGGGTGGAGACATGCGGAGAGTAGAGGCGGCCTCACCTGCTCCTGGCTAGTAGTAACGGGCAGAGGAGAGGGGCAGATCCAAGCCTAAACGTTGGGGCTTCGGATGGGACAGAGGTCCGCCGTCCGCGACGGACGCCAGGCTGGAGGAGAAATTGGGCGCAGAGGTCGTGGGATCAGCCAGCTGGGCAGAGAGCAGCTCATCGTCCGCTACAGCGTTTACTCCGACCATAGCTAGATACAGGAGCAGGCGACGGGGATAGCCTGACATTCAAGACCTTGCGGCGGGCATTCGAGGGCGCGCATGATGCTCATCGTCGGGCATCTCGCAGTTGGTCCACCGCTTCCAGAAGCTTAGCCTCTGTGCGCCGGAGATGCTGAGCCACCGAGACGTGTCGATGATGCCCGTCCTCAGCCTGACCTCGGAGCGGAGATGCTGTTGATGCTCGCCCACAGGTGCGGAGCGGTCATTTCTGAACTCCGTAGGTCCATGGTCATCGGGGCTACATCGTCGACGCTCTGGCCGCGTAGACTGGCGGCGCCACACTTATGCCACGACGACGGCCATGCGCGCCGTGGCCAGGGACGAGCGATGATTTGCCTCGACGGACAAAAGCTGGGCGTCGTGTCTTCCTGGGGTCGGAGGGGGCGCGACGATGGACAGAGTGGTGTAGTTGTCGCTCACCGTTATGTCTTTGGCTCTCGTCTCGACGGCGGTGTGGAGAGGTTCATCCATGGACGCGTTGCGCGAGCCAAAGGTTGTTGTCGGGTACCGACCATGTCAACGAGCTGCCTTAGTCATCCAACCGGTGTAAGCTAGCAGCGCGTGCAACTACATCACGTGGTCGTCTCAACACCACCAGGACTCGGACAATAGCGCGGGTCATGTTGGATGCCTTGTATGGCCATAGTGATATAAGGCCTCAGGCTTCGTAAGCATTAATCTCTAGCCTTGTTCCCAGCCCGGACCAGTGTAATCGGCCCACTCGAAGGACGTCTTGCACCAAACAAACAAACAAACCTACCTACTTGCCTGCCTATTTGCATGGAGCAACGAAGGCTGGGGGGCATGAGTCAGGCGAGCTACATTCCTCGCACAAGGGCGACCTGCCAGAGCCGAGGCAAGGTGCGCAGGAAGGGAGGCCTAGACAGAACCGTGGTGGCGGCAGCAGGGAGATTTGGGTGTCTGGAATGAAAGGAGTCTATGCCGGAGCATTCCGGCTCTAAGGGAGTGTAAATTAGACCAAGACATCCTGCGCGCGACGAGCTGGACGGAGGAAGTGAGTGCCAGCGTCGACGAGTCATAGCCGCGTGGCCTAGAGGCAGACGGGCTGGCTCGCCAATGTCCGGCATCATTCGCCCACACGGCCCCGACAATGCGAGGTCCGAACGGGCCTTGGCAAGGTAATCTCAACCTCTAAGCTCTGCATTTCCCAATCTCAAGTGCTGGCTGAATGGGCTGAATGGGCTCCATGAGCCTCGCAGGCTTGGCTACCTGAGACGGAAGATGGTCGCCATGTGAGGCCTGGTCCACTCAGCGCCATCTCGCCGAACACGTACACGAGACGCAGACCACGTGTCAGATTGAGGGAGCTAGAGGCAGCGAGAGGCCGTGCTCAGCCTCTCGCCCATTTCTTCGCGGCACAGAGACCAATCACGGCGGGTTTGGCGGCTATTCACGTGATATGGGATGGGTTGTGCAAGGTGGCAGGAATAGTGGTTATGTGGCAACGCGCTCATGCCTCCCCGACCAAACGTGGGCGACAGAGGTGTCGGGGCTTGACGCTAGGGGCACGAGACACGCGATGAGGCGAGCAGAGATGGGAGAGACTATTGATTCAGATGAAGTTTAATATTGTGCAGCACGATGAGCTAATACAAAATTCGATTCCGTCAAAGTGAGACTAAGCAACGCGCCATTCGTTAACCTCGATGCCCTCCCGGCCCATCGGCCCCGCCCTTCCCAAAAGCAAATATTGCGACTTTTCCTGCCAGTGTCACCATGTACCGCTGCTAATATTCCCTCTATCCTGCAATGTGAGCTGAATGCTGTCGTGACCTCGAGATGAGGTGCGCTGGTGACGGTGTGAATAGGGCGCCTCAGCATGCGATGGTCGAGGTGTGCGTGGCAGTATTGTGAATCATGGCCACCGTCTGCTTCCCGCGACATTCTTCTGACTGACGTGGTAACATGGCGATGTGGAAGTGACTTTTAAACGCCTTTGTCGTAATCCATTATATTATTTTACAATTATAACCCTCTTTCATTCCGTCCCAAACTCCTAATCATTGTCTGTAGGGCCCGAGAGGAGGCCCTAGTCTGCGTCATGGGTAGTCTTGTGTAGTCTGCTGTATCCGAGCCAGCTCGGCTGCGTGTGTTTTTGGAGGATAGCGACAGGCCATGTAGTTGGGAGTTGTAAGGTGGATGACAGTAGGCAGATCGGCGCCCAAGTCGAGATGGTAGAGACTGTGAGCCTTGAGGCTGTTGATGATAGCCAAGATGCTAGTGCACGAGCATAGTGTGTGTGTGTGTGTGTGTGTGTGTGTGTGTGTGTATAGAGATAGAGGCGAGTTGTCTAGTTCATGGGCTTGCCAGCAGCCTGTTGACGAGTGTTGCGGACCTTCTTTGGAAGAGGAGGTAGAGGACATGAAGGTGGAGGACCTGGGCAGGGTGGGAGCTGCGAAGGAAGTTGGTATGGTCGAGGCATGTTGAAGGTGAGAGTGCGGGAGTGATGGCGAAGAAGACGATGTCAAAGGTCTCGTGAAGGAGTAGCACAAAGCTTGAAGGTCTAGAGGATAGACGAGTGATGGAAGCGAAGCAGAAGCTGGATAGATAGACTGAAGGATGGTGATGGTCGCTGATGGACTGTGATGAAGTTGAAGAACGGGATGGGAATGCGCATATATATTGGCAAAGGCGAGCTTCTCGACAGGCGCCAGGCCAGCGCCCCTGGCCGAGGACCCCTGTAAGGTGCGAGAGACACCGGAGTTTCTTCGACCAGCAACAGGCGGTCCGTTACCAGAAGTGCGGGTCCGCCGGGGGTGCGTAGACCGAGCAGGGGCTACGGCGGCGGAGGCGCAAAATGGAAGGGCGACGGAAGTCTTTGGAATGGCCGGCCCAGAAGGTTTCCCCGTGACCGTGAAACACGCTGGACCCCCTGGCTCGTCGAGCGCACAGTCCGCCAGTCCAGCGTGGTTGGGGGCGGCGAAGGGGATTTGGCCATGGGCTTTGCTTGCAAAGTGCATTTATGTCCGGACAGGGTCTGACCCTCGTCGATTCCTTCCCATCCTGCGGACTCCGCAGTCGGGGGTGGCAAGCGCAGGATAATCTATCTCGATGCCAGTGTCAGGAGCCGGGCGGCGGCGGTGGTGGTGGTGATGGTGGTAGAGTTGCTTCTAGTATTGCTCCTCCTCACCCTCCTATTCCTGCATGTCACGAGGAGCCGCGTCGTCGGTCGTCCGCATGAGGGCGGCGGCAGAGATTGACGCTGGCGAGCTGCGATTCAGCAGTGGCATAGGTGTTTCTGCAATTGCCATGGCCGGCGCCTGCGTCGCAGAGGGTGTAGTGGACGATGGCTCGACCTCACCGTCGCCGCCGACCTCGCCGCACCCCTATTGCCCCCGATCATCCCTTAATCGCTCCCATATCCTGCTCTTTCGCACTCTCCACGACGTCCGGACCCGCGCGATGGAGCTCCAAGGCTGCGGCCACTCGACACTCAAGACGCCGTCGTTAGCTCTGCGAGCCATCCGCCTCTCGCCCATCATCGCCGCCATCTGCAGGCCGTCGCGTGACCACGGCCCCGACTCACCGTTCTTTAGCCTCTGACGCCCACGAACATTGGGCCGTCTTGCAGACGCGGCACGCCGCTGCTGCTGCCACCACATTCTCTCCCATCTCCCCAGCCTTCGTTGCCGCCGTGTCTCGCGGCCGATGCACGCATCCGGTGCAGGGCGCAAGCGCGCGACGCGCTGGGCCGGGGTGGTGAAACGGAGCTAGCGCCGCCGCACGGCAGGGGCGTCTACTGGCGGCCTCGACGACCCATCCGAACCAATCGTATTTGGTCACGTGAGGTTTCAAGTGCGAATACGAGGGCATGGCTGGGGTGAGGGCGCGCGGCCGCCTGGACAAACTTTGCAGTGTTTTGAAATAAGACAGTCGGCGGAGAAAGTGGAAGAAACCGGCGCGGCCGCCGAGACGATCCTCTCGGGCCCGGCGGATGGCAGGGGCGACGCCTCGCAGTCTGTAGCCATAGATTTGGCCCCTCGCAGGAGTCATCGCCGGGCAACGAGCGAGAGAGCCGCGGTAGCTTGGGCGCCAGTGTCTCTCGAGTCAGGCGACTAGATTGCACTGCGGTTGGCGCCATTATGTTAGGCCGGGTGGTGAAGGCGTGCGCAGATATCTCACGAGGAAACTCTGCCGGCGTGGGCAATGCTACGAGATGAGCTGATATGCAGAGCTGAGCAAGAGGACGATTGGATGTGGAGGGGAGAGAGTCATGTACCATCTCCACATTGCCCGCCCAGCCAGCCAGCTGCATCCTCATGCAGCGTGGCGTGTAAACAAAGCAAGTTCACCGTTTCGTTGGCGAATGGAGCTTGGCCTGCGAGTCGCTGGCCGTGAAGCAGACGCAGACACTCCCGTCCCGTAGACCAAGTCCCCACGCGTGCGGCCAGGCCGGAGACCATCATCAACTCGTATGTCGCATACGAGAAACTCAAATATCTACAAGGACGCTGAGTCGGCACGCCATGTAGACGTCACTTGCCGTCTTGGATAAGCGGCCGACGGCAGAGAGTTGAGGAAATTAGAGCAGAATTCAAGTGGCTACTAAATCAACCGGCATAAAGGAGGGCTAAAGCCAAGCAAACGCTTTGAAACTTGACTTGTTTACTACTACCCCAAACAAACTGAGAGGTATGTCCAGTGTTGACGTAACCAGTCCTATGGCAAAATCCAGTAAGGCCAGAGTGCAAGCGATTGGTTGTCGTATGGCATTAATGCTGCTAGAGATGACTAATATGCGATGCTCGCCTGTCGTACTAGTCTCTATCTAACGCGATGCTTCCCGGCTCAACTGACCAACGATGCTGCCGGCTTAGGCGGGACGAGATCTCTAGCCAAGTCCCCACCGACTGCACTCATGCTTCGTCGACGGCGAGCAGGAGATCGGAATACCCCATACCAGATGCATAGGACTGTGGGCGGCTTCCACGACGATCGACTTTGACGCGGCTCTTGTGCCGCAGAGATTCAGCTAGTGCTGTCCTCGCTCTCATCGCCCGCCACCCGCCCAGCGCAAGAGAAGCTGTATCGCGCACCCTAGCGCCTTGACCTGGTCGGTCGCCGAACAAGCCACGCCTGCCGCGTCTGTGAGACACTGTTTCTAGTCACAGACGCGGGCTGGCCGGCCGTCATCTCATTCAGATAGCGATAGCCGTTACAGCGAGACCCGCCCTCAGAGACCGGGCCAGCGCGTACCTTTTCCCTGCGTGCCTGGTCCTTGCCGCCTCCCGCCCTCTGATTGGTCTCGCTTCCGCTATGTCGGCGGCAGTCGCGTCTCGACTCGGCTCTTGCCTTGTTTCAGCCGGGTTTCAGCTTCGTTTCAGCGCCCAAGACAGACGCGGCCCACTGCCCGTATGGCCCCGGGCAACACGTCGGCCGCATCGCCCGAGCCCGTGCCGATTCGCCATGCTCCCGCCCGTCGCCATCATGGCTGGACGAGCGAGCGTACAGGTCCGGGCTCTGGGCATCATGCAAGCCATCCGACGACATGGCCTCTTCGCCCCCCCCCCCCCAGCCTGGGCATCGGCGGGAGAATCGGTGACGATTCAGACGGCGACGTCCACCATTACGTACCGTGGTCAGGGCCGAGCGGATCCGGCCGTCATCAGGAACAATCACAACGCTCCATCGCCAAGGCGAATGCGTGGACACTCGGACCAGAACATGGCCATCGTCCGCCCAACATCGACGGCGCCGTAAAATTGTATTCAGCTCGGGGGCCACCACATCGCTCGTCTCTTGGCCCGCCCTGACTAATGCGAGATCAGCTAGAGGCGCTCCCGATACCGATGGCAACAAGGAAAGCGCGCGGCCAGAAATCCTCCGATTCTGCATCTCAGTCTGCTGCTCCCATCATCCCTACACGGCGCCGGCCGCGGAAATCAAAGCTCTGCCCGACCTGATGGCCCGCATCGTGTCAAGTGGTGAGTTGAGACGGCGGCCACTGCTCAGCATCATTGTCCATTTCCTCCAATGCGCGTGTGAGCCTCTGATGGCTTTGGAGCGCGTCGATGCCCCTGCACGCAAACCTTCGCAAACCAGGAGGTCTGCTCTCTAACGGGCCGTCTCGCTCGATGACCATCATAGCTCCGCGACAGTGCCTGGCCGGCTTTCAGATCTTCCTGATCGTTGCCCCGACAACCGCCGATGTTGATGACATGCCAAATTATCCACTGAACCTCAGTTCACGTCAAGCGTTTCACCCACCCCCCCAAAGTGTATTTAGTCAACGTGGGCGTCGTCTATCTTCCCTTCCCGCAGCCGCCATGGAGGAATATCTTTCCCCTCCCCACCAACGCCATCTCAACAGGAGGCCTGGTCTCATCCTCCGGCCCAACTGCAAGACGGCGCCATGTCTAAACCAATTCTTTCGTCGAACTAGCACATCGAGTCTCGCCTCGCGGCATCGCTCCACGTAGCGCTCGATGCGCGCGTTTGCGGTGACGCATACATGGTGAAGTGGTCGACGCCAGCGTAGAGTTTTCCAAGTGCCTTGCACGTTGGAGTGCCCACTCCCATCCGGGGCCGACCCCGAAGTGCGATGTCCGTGAAGTGCATCACGCCTTGAGGTCGTTGGCTGTCTCTACAAACGCTCATAATCGTCTTAGTCCCCGAATGTTCATCCACGCGGCAAGAAATTCTATCTGGTCCCCATATTATGACCAGATCAGAGTCCCGTATAGTGTGGGTAGCCCGCATAAACGTAACTCACTCCTGCTGTTAGCTATCTCCATCAAGTTTCGACTTTACCACGCGTGAGCATCTTGGCCTCAGGCTCCGCTCCCGCCGCATCTACCAGTCTTTGACTGACCCGCGGCCAATGAAGAATTGTAGGTGCGACGTATAGATCTAGAGGGGCGCATGATTGCACATGGTCGCTGGGTAATGCGGCACGGCAGACGCTGTGCAAAAGATCCATCTGGTGTTTGGGAAATCTTGCGAGGTGAGCAGAGGCTGGAACTATGTCCCCCTCACCCACGGACCGCATCCCACCTGACCTAATAAACACTACAACTGCTAAAATACAATTATAATCCTCACGACCGGATATTATTTTTAGACGCCGGCATTACCATAGTCCTCCTAGCTCGATGCGAACAGATTTACGAGTTTTAAACAAAATCCGACCCTCCCAAGCGACTAGATAGAATCTGCGCAATAAGCTTCACTAGCCTCTCAAAATCCTAGTAAAACTTCTCGTCAACTATACAGAGACGCTTTCAACATGCCTCGCCTTAGCAGATTCGGTCCTTTGCAGCATCGCCAGTCGACTAGAGCCGAGTCCTGGGACAAACATACGACTATCGTTGGAAGGGGCCAAATTATTTAAATCCTCTGGAATCCTCCAGAGCGCAATTGACCTCCCCATCTACCGGCCGTGAATGCAGACTCGTGCCGACCAGAACATCTCATGCGTGCTACCTAGCTGCAAGATAAGAGACTACGGCTTTGAAGAGATTGATCCACATAGATATACGCGGGCAAGAGTAGACAAAGCACCAGAGTTAACTTCAACTAAACCGTTTCGAGGCTCGTCAACGCCAACAAAGTGCATTATTCCACTACCCAATCCAGCCTTATCCCAAGTAGTGGGGAGATCTCGGTTCTGGCCATCAAAGGCATACGAAGCACCCCTGGGTGTTATTCCGATTAACAGATTACCGCCAGTTCCAACCAGCAGGTAAGTTGTGTACAACGTGACACGATCGGCATGCATCAACAGAAAGGTTTCGCAATAGACCAAAATCGACTACCGAAGATTCGCGCTTGGAGTTCTGGTGCAAGGCGAAAACGATTTCCAATGCAGCACTCCATGTCTGCAAGTGACGACAATATTACCAGGATCTTCCCCATGGCAAAGTCGACTCCATTCCCACTTGTTAAAGCGGACAAAGAATATTTATTTATCTCAATTTCCAAGTCGTACGCTGAACTGGCACCATTAAAATTCTACTCTAAG